GGACTGTTGTAGGATAAAAGAGACTAAAGAGACATCACAGTTAAATGCAATGTGCAATCCTGGTCTGGATCCTGGACTAGAAAAACAAAACTATTATACAAGACATTATCGGGGCAATTGGCAAAATCTGAATACAACTTGTAGATTATGGTATTACACCAATGTTAAGTGCCTTGATTTTGATGGGTGTGTTGTGGTAATGTAAAAGAAAGTCCATGAATGTCCATATGCTTAGGAAATACTGAAGTTCTTAAGAAACACCCGTAGGGTAGAGAAAACAATAAAGTATGGTAAAATGTTGATAAGTCTGCGTGAAGGATATATGGAAGTTGTTTGACACTTCCTGTTTTGTTATTCTTGTTTTAAACTATTTTCACTTTTCTGTGAGTTTGAAATTATTTCAACATAAACAGTTGAAAAGAACAATTAAAATAAAAAGATGCACTCTCTATGGTCCATTGTGTTGAAACTCAATGAGAAGTCACGTAGGTTCAGCATTGTTAATATCAAGCAAGATATCATAGGACCTGTGACTTAGAATCTTGGTTAGGAGAAAGTGTGTGTGGCACATTTTCAACAGACTGGGATCTATCTTTGTATTTTCTTGTCTTCTCCCATCCTTTTCCTTTGAAAGATGATGGTGAACTTGTTGACCATGTTCATGGTAGTGTCTCTGGGTTGAGTCACACAGTTGGCCCTGACAGCCTTATGTTAAAGAGGCAGCACAGAGAGTAGAAATGCCACTTCCAATAATATTAAAAGAAATATTAGTTAAGGTATTGATAAACCTTTAGCTCTCATCTTTTAAAGATGTTTAGTCTCATCTTTTAAAACACAGTAAAATATACAGCAGTACTAATTTACCTGCAAAAGCCCTGGCTGGTATGGCTCACTGCATTGTGCACCAGCCTGTGAACCATAGGGTTATCAGTTTGATTCCCAGTCAGAGCATATGCCTGGGATGCAGGCCAAATCCCCTGTGGGGGGCACATGAGAGGCAGCCACACATTGATGTTTCTTCCCCTCTCTTTCTCCCTCCCTTCCCCTCTCTCTAAAAATAAATAAATAAAATGTTTAAAAACAAGACAAACCACCCCCCCCAATTTACCTGCAATGAAGGGTAGTCACAGGTTAGCACTATTGATGTTCTCTAATCCTAAAACTGTTCTGTCACTCTTTGCTTCAGTCATTCAATTTTCTACAGCTCTGCTCATTTCTCCCCCTATATCTTTCTCAAGTCTCTCTTCAAGTGCTGCTAAGTTCCATTACAATGTCTTACCCTCTGTTTGGGCCATTTATTGCTACTCTAACAACCAATGGATATCTACCAGGCACAAAACTTATAGAAAACTATATTTATCCGGCATCTACCAGTCTGGAAATTACCACGAAATACATTGTCTATACCTCCATTTCTCTAACTGTAAAATGCCCCTCTGAGAAGGCAGATCTTGTCTTGTTCAATTTGGGCCACGTCTAGTCAACATATCAGAAAAGCTTGTGGGGAGAAGGAATATTTCATTTGGTGCTACTTTCCCTGGCCTAAGGAAACTTACAACATAATCAGAAGGACAGAAAGACATCAGACGTTAAAGTGATCAGTGCATAGGACTTATGTGAGAGATAGGAAACCTTAATCCTGGTCTACCATGAATTCACTGCGTAACCATGGCAAATAACATGGTCTCTTAAGGCTTCATGCCTTATTTGTAAAATGAGGCAGTTGGATTGGATGATAATAGCTGAAATTCACTCAGCACTTATATTAACAGGCCCAATGCTCAGCACTGATCAAAGATTAACATATTGAAACCTCACAATACTGCTGGGAGGTATGTATCACTATTTTCCTCATTTGACAGATAGTCTATGAGATTCTTTCAACTCCAATGTTCTATAATTATGTGATTCAAGTTAAATAATATGGTAAACTATATTTTATAAAAGTGACCACAATATTTCCCACCCCACATGCTCTTCTTAAAGTATGACTTTGACACTCCTGCCTTTGAGGGTGGGTCTATGTCCCCTCTCGCTGAATTTGGGTAGGCTTGTGGCTAGATAAAATGCGTAATGTTATGTGACTTAAGGCTAGATCATAAAAGCCAACAGAGCTTATATTAATTTCCTATTGCTGCACAGCAGATTACCATAAATTTAGTGGCTTCAAACAAAACCAATTTAATTAGCTCATAGTCTGTAGGTAAGAATTCTGGGTTCAGCATGGCTGGGTCCTATGCTCGGGGTTTCATGAGATCAAAATGAAGGTGTTGGCTAAACTGAGTTCTCAGAGGGTCTTTGGGGACCATCTTAGAATTCTGTCTACCACATAGCTTCTGTTTGATTCTCTTGTCTTATTGTTCTTAGAGTTTAGCTACTACACTGTGAGGAAGCACAAGTAGCTTCTGGAGAGGAACTGAGACCTGTCCACCAATAGTCCCAGCTGAGCTCCCAGCCAACAACCAGTATCAACTTGCCAGCCATGTAGTGAGTCACTTTGAAAGTGAATCTTCCAGCCTCAAGCTGAGCTGCCCAGCTGGCAGTCTATGGAACAGATGAGTTGTCCTTATTGAGTCCAGTCCAAATTGCAAATTTGTGAGTAAAAGAAGGGATTATTGTTGTTCTAAGCCACTAAGATTTGGGATGACTTGTTATGCAGCAACAGATCATTGAAAACAAATAACAACCCAAGTGAGAGATGATCTACACAAGGGTGTCAAACTCATTTTCACGAGGGGCTGCATCAGTCTCACAGTTGCCTTCAAAGGGCTGAATGTAATTTTAGGGCTGCATAAATGTAACTACTCCTTAACAGTTAAGCGAGAGCTTGGCACTGCCGCTGGGTAGAAACAAGATGCAGGCCAGATAAAACAAGGTGGAGGGCCGGATTAGGCCAGTGGGCCTTGTGTTTGCCACCTATGATCTACAAGTACTAAAACCTTCTGTGGACAAGGAGTGGTAATGTACATTTCTTTTAGGACATCCAAGCATCTGGCAGTGTAGGCCTACAATGTCATTCAATTCATGTTTACTGATTTATTAATTCAAGCTTATACTGAACTGATTTATATCAGTATACTAGTCATCCATATTTGGAAGCTTAGCATTTTAGAAGGGTTATCTAAAAAGTATGCTTACCTTTTGAGCAATATATATATGTTTTATTTGTGAAATATTTGGGATGTAAATGAATATATGAACTTTTTTGGTAACCCTCACTAGAGGATATGTTCTTTACAAAATTGATTTGAGAGAGAGAGGAAGGGAGAGAGAGAGAAACATCAATGTGAGAGAGAAACATCAATTTGTTGCTTCTCATACATGCCTGACCTGGGATTGAATCTGCAACCTATGTATGTGCCTTGACCGGGGATTGAACTTGCAGTCTTTTCGTGTATGGACAACACTCCAACCAACTGAGCCACCTGACTAGGGCTGAATGTAATAACTTTATAGGCTTGTTTATAAATCAGTACTTAAAATATTAATATTTCAATGTACACTTACTTTTCAACAACTATTATTTTTATTGGGAAAAGGTAGAGAACACTTGGAAAATAATAATCAGTTTGTTATTAAGAATTCTTTTTTAAAGGTTTTATTTATTTATTTTTAGAGAGAGAGGAAGGGAGGGAGGAATGGAGAGAAACATAAATGTGTGGTTGCCTCTCAAATGCCCACCACTGGGGAACTGGCCTGCAATCCAGGCAAGTGCCCTGACTGGGAATCGAACCAGTGACCCTTTGGTTCACAATCCAGTGCTCAATCCACTAAGCCATGCCTGCCAGGGCTGTCATTAAGAATTTCATCAATGGATATTAAGTGTTAGATGAAAGACTGTTGGAGAATAGAATATCCATACACTCTCAAAGAGGCTCCCCCTGGTTTATTTGTTGATTACAGAGAGGGAAAGCTGCCTTGGCAATGCAGGGACCTGGCAGACAACTCCTTAACCAAATGATCAAACTTAATATTACCAATGATGGAACAAATGACACAGTGCCTGCCACTGTGATGCATTAAGGACACAATCTCACCTGTGTAGTATTCGTGCCAAAAAATGTTTAACCTAAATCTAATTATGAGAAAACAGACAAGTCCAAATTAAGAATATTCTGAACAACCACTGACTTGTACTCTTCAAAAATACCAAAGTCACTAAAGAAAAAGAACACTGCAAAACTATTCCAGATTAAGGGAGATTAACCTAAAAGAGATAAGTAAATATGAACCTTGATTGGATCCTGGATGTCTCCTATTCCAACAAGAAAGGAAAAAAAAAACATAAAACTCTAAAACTTAAACATATACTGCATATTAGATATCAGTATTGTACTGTGTTAAGTATGTGACTAGATTGTGGTGTTGTGGTTAAGTTAGGAGAATGTCCTTGTTAGGATCCAGATGCTGGAATATTTAGGGGTGAGCTGCCACTATGTCTGCAAATATCACTCTGGAAAATTGTGTAAGGCCTAAAATTCTTTACGTGGTTGAAGAATTTTGTATCAGCATGTAGTCAATAGTGTCCACAGACTGAACAGTCAATAGTGTCCACAGACTGAACAGAGAGAACAATCAAAGTTCTCTATATAGCTGAGGAGAAGCAGGCAGCTAAACCCGCACCTTCTTCGGTGGTAGGCAGAGCCCTGAGAGCTTTATGGTGGCCGCAGCATGATCGGTGCAAATGATGAAGCTGTGGTTCCACCTTTGCCAGAGGGGCACACACAGACATTCATGCATACTTGTGCATTCCACACATTGCAGGTACTCACCGGAATGAAGGTACAGACAACTGCAACCGGTGCTGTCGGATGCACTTTACGGCATTGCAGTGCATGCAAGATAGCGGCACATGAAGTCTGGTGCACTTTACAGCAGTCAAGCTAAGGCATGAGGCAGGCATTGACGTCACATCCGGGTTGCTATGGGATCCGGTCTTCACGTTCCACATCATTGTGAGCTGTCTGTTCATCCTCTGGCAGTCCTGCGGCTCCGTGATCATGGCGGCGATAGCGGCACTGTGGCGGAAGGCAACGGACTATGTGAAGACCAAGGAGTTCCGGGATTATGTGACTAGTACACACTTTTGGGGTCCGGTGGCCAACTGGGGCCTACCAATAGCTGCCTTTCGGGATATGAAGGTGTCTCCGGACATCATCAGTGGCCGCATGACAACAGCGCTCATCCTCTACTCGATGGCTTTCATGCGCTTTGCTTACCGCGTAAAGCCTCGAAACTTGCTGCTGATGGCCTGTCATGGCACCAACGTGGTGGCGCAGAGCATGCAGGCGAGTCGCTACATGGTCTACCATTACGGCGGCGGCGCTGAGAAGACCACTGCTGTTGCCACCGTCGTGGCTTCCACCGCCACCACCACTCCAACCGCTACTGAAGACACCCCTTTCACCACCGACGACACAGCCTGTGACTAGGTGGCCACAAGCCCCAATCTGCAGTCCCCGAAATGAGATTAATGACTGAGATGACCCTATCGAACTTTTGCAGCTTGCAAGCACTGAACTGTTTTTCTTCCTAAAGAAAAGACCAATGAAAAGTTTCAATTAGACTCTAACAGTGCAAATCTCATTTAAACCTGCAGTTTGGTTAATAAAAAAAGATGCAAAGTAGCATAGAACTGAAACTGAGTGCTGCCTCTTTCTTGACCTAGAAATAAATTGTTTTGTAGAAGCTGAGGAAGGTAGATTGCTTGATTTTTCCTTCATGGTACCCACAAATTGAAGGTTTAGTTTATATAGGGAAGAAAGATTATTTGAATGAAAGATATTTCAAATTATCTAACTCACTGTTTTTTGGTGTGTTTTTTTTTCAAGTTTTCTTAAAGCTCTCTTGGGAACATGTTTTGTTACTTGTTTTGTATATCTAGGCCAAATAAGGATGCTTAGCACACATGACTTTTAAACCTTGGTAGAGTCACAAATCTCCTTACACCAAAACCAAAGTCTGGGGGCTATTTCTATTGATGGAAATACTTGGAAGTGAGTTTAAATCAACTCCGTGAAATCCAGTTGAGACTTTTAAGGAGTACTTATTAAGAGAATCTAGAATCTCTTTGTGACTAAGCAATTATAGAACTTTCCATGGAAACAGAATAAATAACTGTGAGGTCAATTACTCTGAATTCTAGGTAATTAGGAAATAAAAATGACAAAATCAGAATCCTTTCCTGTTTTCCTCATGCCTAAAAATGGGGAAATGGCAGTTTGTAAAATTGGTTGAACACTAGCTACGGTTGGGGATGAGGGTCTGTGGTCAACAGTATTAGCCCAGAGTATCCACCTTCCCCACCAGGAATCTCATAAATGCTAAGTTTTCTTAAACCAGGGAGGACAGAAAAGAGAAGGGTGGAGCTGTGGGTGTGAGGCCATTCTGCGGCAGAGGCTACCCTCTAGGACTTGATGCAAAATTCCCGCCTAACTCTGGAGGATGCAGGGAGTTCCAGAGTGGTCTACTGGGGAATCTCAATAAATGTGTTTAAGACTGCTTTTGTTAGATATTTCAAATGCAAAGAAATTTAAAACAGCCATCTGAAAGGTTCTGAAATTATCAGGTTTGGGATAAGACAGGCACATTAGTGGAACTCTCAAAGATCCCCCTTTATTTTCTGTGGCATCTAAGCAGTTCTCTTTATGGACAGTTTCTGCATCACACATTTTACATACGGGGGAGAAGAAACAAACTGTGGAAAACAATAATGTATTAGTTATCTATTGCTGTGTAACAAATCACTCCCAAACTTAGCTTTAAACAAGATATTTAAAATTAACAACAACAACAAATATTATCTCACACAATTTCTGAGGGTCAGGAACGGGAATTAGCTCAGTGTTTGCTGCTGGCTCAGGGCCTCTTAGCTGTCCACTGTGGCTGCAGTCTCTGAAGGCTTGCCCGGGGCTAGAGAATCAATCCCATTTCTAAACTGAGTTTGCAGGAGGCTTCAGTTCCTTGTCATGTGGGCTACAGGGGCTGTTTATAACACGTCACTGACAGCAGGTGTTCCGAGAGAGAGAGAACCCAAGATGGAAGCTATCCTGGGAAGTGATATACCATCACTTCAGCTGTGTTCTACTGGTCACATGGACCAACCCTGTTACACTGTGGGAGGACAATACAAGGGTGGAAATACCAGGAGGCAGGCATCACTGGGGGCGATCTTCTAGACTGGCAACCACACACACAGTTCTAAAAATTCTCATGCAGTAGTAAAAAGCTGTTCTTAAAGTTCTCAACTGAATCATAACCTTTCATCTAGATTTTTACGAAAACTTTGGATTTCCCCCTTCACTATTACATGAGTAGAAATTAATATATTTTTAGATTTGTCTTACAAAATGTATTTTATAATTTGAGTATGTTTCAGTAAAAGGCCACTGTCTGTTGAACACATGTCAGAGCGGGTAGGTTTCTAATTAATCTGGGGGAAACAGAGGTACTCTTTGTTGATAATTTCCTATTATTCTACATTTATAATTTAGTGGGCAAAAAGGTTAGAGAAAACATTCAGAAGGTTATAACACCTCTACTCTCATGCAGTACTATGCTTAGAGGATCCAATTCATAGTATGCCCCACTCAATTAAGAGATCTAACCCTTTGTTGCCTAGGATATTCACGTGTAAAGCCATATGAGTGATTAATACTTTAATAAAAATGCAACTTTAAAATCATTAGAGTAACAATCATTTTATAATACCCCAAACTCTCAAACATAAATAATCCTTTCTGGCCTTTGCAATTTAACTTTAAACTGTCTACAGATCTCTACCAGTATTTTATGAAGCCAATAACAGTTTCTCAACTGGCAGTTTTTTTCCCAGAAGTTTTTGTTACTGACACACATTTGTAATTTCCCAAAATTTGTTTTCTATATTGAGTTTAGTAAGTCATTACTTCCTCCTTAGGTGGAAGGAGCTCTGAGCTTCCTGGCAAAGCACAGGCTAAAACCCAAAGAACTGCCTTATCTTGGCAACTATGATGCTAAAAGCCATTTTTTTCCTCTAAGTCTTTCAAAGCATGAATCATATATTGTTTCAGGGAGAGGCTGAGAGCAAATCATATTGCTGGATGAAAACAAGGCACTTCGAGGTGAAACAAAGCCTTGTGCAGAAAGGAAACCACTTCCTGGGGGCCTCTGACCTTGACAACTCATAAATCTCCCCAGAGGTGGAGCTGATATCCACAAAAATGTATGCTACAATGTACTACCGGAAATGTGACACAACTTTTACAGTCTGAATTTATATTGTTCATATCTCTTTATTTTGAAATTTAAAATTTTCAGTAAAAAATTCAAAATACATGACTGCATGTTTGTTGTATAATTTTCACAAAGTAGAAAAGCAAAATTCCTTCAAACCCCTCCACTCAACCCCAATTCCTTTTACAGATCAGCAAAAAATCTTGGGAAAAACACACAACTTTCCAGAAATGTTATCTTAAAATACAAATAGTTTTACAGCATGCTATGCATTGTTAAACATTCTGCTTTTCTATTTAATAGGTCTTAGAGATTATCCCATATTACTGCTTTGCAGCATTTCCTCATTCTTTTTACCAGTTGCTTAATATTCTATAGCATGGCTGTGCTGACTTATTCAACCAGTCTTCTCCTGATGGCTGGCTGCCAATTCTGCTGTGAATACTTGGTGCCCACATGTGCGGGTCTACAGAAGAAAGGCCCACTGGCTGATGTCCCTGTACACAACACATTCGCTTTTAAGCCCTCTCTGGGGAATGTCTTCCTTTCTCTATCTTAATTTCAATGTAATTAAACACTGCCAGTATAGTTTTCTGAACAGTATCTTTAATTTATCAAAGCAGACATTAAGCCCAATAAGATAAAAGCTCATAAACCACCATCCATACCTTTAAAATCCTCACATTTGCATTTACCTTAGTGCCTGGCACATGGTTGACACTTGATAAATGTTAGATAGATAAGGTAACCTAACTAGATACAAGAGGTATGAAAATCAGGAGTTCATAATCCCATTGGAAATGAGGTCTTAAATTGGTTAGTTAATCAAGATTTAATTTGATGCCAAGTTTTGACTCATATCTAGAAGATAGGAAATATTTCAAAGTTTCTTAGTTTAGAGGAGTTACAAGCTGAATGAAAATTCTTACTTCGCTATTGAGGTCATCTGAAGGAACTCCATGTAAAGAAAGGGAGAAAGAACATGTAAGATTAAACACCAAATAGTGCCCCAGCTGGTGTGGCTCAGTGGATTGAGCACTGGCCTGCAAACCAAAGAGTCGCCGGTTGGATTCCCAGTCAGGGCACAAGCCTGGGTTGCTGGCCAGGTCCCTAGTGTGGGGCATGCGGGAGGCAACTACCCATTGATGTTTCTTTCCCTGTCTTCCTCCCTCCCTTCCCCTCTCTAAAAATAAATAAAATCTTTAAAAAAAAAAAGACCAAATAGAAACAGGAAAGATTAAAGCAGGAAGTTATAGGCAAATCTGCATTCATCCAGGTTTTACAAAATTACATTAAATGCCTTTTAATGTAAAAATACACCTCCATCCTCGGCCCATTCTCTATAGATCACATTCTTGATGGGCAGCTGAGGAAGCAAAAGAGCTCAGTTTCAGTGGGGCTATTCCTGCAGGCAGTGGGGAATGTGGCAGTTGGCAATTCTGTCCCTGAAGGTTCAGAGGCAACATGGCCCAGTTGAACACCATTGCATACAATGGGACAGAGGTTTCACAGTTCCAGAAACAAACAGAACAAAGACAGAATTAGATAGCTTTTGGGGTAAAAAGAGTAAGGGAGTATGAATGAATTTGTGAATCTGTTGAAAAAAAAAAAACCGATGTCTTTGAATTCCCGTAAGAATGGTGAAATTTCATTTTTTTTTAAATTCTTAAATCTTGCAAGGAAAGGCCGGGCTTACATAACAGTACAACTAACATTTACATCTATATACAAATACTCCTAAGCTATCAGCTGACCATTCAGTCAACAAATATTCATTGAGCATAGGAGGGCCAGTCCCTGTGCTCTGCACCTGGGATCCAGCTGGACAGAAAGAGCTGTGACTGCCAACGGGTTTACTTTTCCTAAGTGCCACATACAAGTCAGCAACTGCAGAGCTTTCCCCAACATCCCTGTTTGTGATGCTGGCCTAGAGCCCCCTACCCCGCTTTGGTCAGTCAAGTCACTGTGTTCTCCACTCCCCACTCCCTGACCAGCCTGGGCCCACTTCCTTGTCCTACTGCCTCAGGCTACTAGAGCTGGTTGAAATAGCTCTGTAACTAATTGGAAATGGCTAGAAAAATGGCCTTTCAGGCAATTTTTTTTCTTACTTTCTTCTAAAAAGGAAGGATTTATATCTTGACTTTTACATCATAGCTCACCCCTTGGGCATCCTCATGAATGAGACTTTCAGGAAGGAGGGGGTGGGGTGGAGCAGGACTTATGTTTCAGGGAGCAGAGAACTCTGCATGACCCTTCACACAGGCTGCCAAACACAGCCTTTACTGTGTTAAGCAGCTAGAGTTTAGTACCAAAAAATAATCTCACCTTTTAAATAGTAACATAACAAAACAAAACAATACAAACAAAAGGAAAAAAACACCAAAAAACCAAGAATACTACGTTTGGCATAAGAGTATGTAATATTTTTTGGCCAGTATAAATCACACAACACTAAGCTTATGAATATTAAAAAAAATCCCAAAGAATCAAAGGAAAAGTCCAAGAAAAGACAACAAAAATGTCTTTTTGGTTGGGTAGAGGACTCTGGTAAGTTTTCCCTTTTGCACAGAAAAGGATGGCTGAGATGGAAGCCATGCTGACTTTCATAGGACACGTCTGATTTTTGTCAAAGGGCAACCTAAAATAAAAGAAAATATTTAATTTTATTTTGTGGGGGGGAGTAAAATACCAAAGACAGTTATTTAACAAGTTTTACTTAGGAAATTAACAAGTTGCTATCAATACCACAGCTAAGAGCTAGACATCATTATTATCACTGTAGGGTTGACATGCTCCCTGATTATGTGATAAAGTTGAATCCCTTAAGACTAGACCAATGACTTCAGGTATATCTGACCACATGAAGTTGGCAGGGAGTTTTTGTTGAATTACTTCATATATGAAAACTATCAACTAGAATGAGCACAAAGCCCAGTGTCCTTTCTCTCAAACAATAAGGACATAGGGAAATTTCAGAGGAGACTATGTGTGTGTTCATTATGACCTTACACAAAAGAACCGACATCAAAGAGATGAGGCTATTGTATCCTTATTTAACATCAAATGCCTAAATTTACCTCAGGCCTCCCCTTCAGGTGCCTGTGCCCCAGGTTCCTTTGAATCCAGTTTCTGATGCTGTAGATAGAGGCTGTCTAGCTTCTGCATATCTTCTGTAAGACCATTTCTAAGATCTTCATTGTTTCTTAGAAATTCTTTTACCACCTCCAGCTGATTTAAGATCTGCAAAAGAAACCATACAGTTTACAGCTGAGATAATTTTATAGCAGGCTTGTAATTCAGGTGAAAATTAACTGGCTCCTGCTCAAGTCTCCACCAAGAGACAGAAACCTTGGCTACAGGCAACCATCCATAAACAGGTTAAGGTTTGAAAAACAAAACCAAACAAACCCTTTAAAACAAAGCATCCTCTACTCAACAAAATAAGACCCAGGCTAGCTAGTTCTGGGCCACACAAGGGGATGTTTGCAACACACTGATAATCCTCAAGTTATGATGAGGTCACATCCTGATAAGCCCATCGTATATAATTCAAAAATGCATTTAATACAACCTAACCTACCAAACATCACAGCTTAGCCTAGCCTACCTTAAATGTGCTCAGAACACCTACATTAGCCTACCATTGGGCAAAATTATCTCACTGCCACTGCCCAGCAAAAGATCAAAATGCAAAGTATAGTTTCTACTGAAATACGTTATCTGTGTTGCACCATAGTAAAGCCAAAAAACCATAAGTAAAAATCTTTGTAACATACACACATATATATGTATACACATATGTACATGTATATAAAATGAAGCCTTTTCATTTTGATTTTCCTACCTGTACATGCATTACTAGTAAATATATATCCATATATATCCATATAGATGTGTATGGTTATCCATATGCATGCATATGGGTGTATCTGTTTATTTAATAGTAATATATGTATAGGTAAAAATTTCAAGATGAGCACAAGAGTGCAAGGTAAATAATCAGTCTTCTTCCAAACCCCTGTCCTCAGTTACTTAGCTCCTTCCCCCAAAGGTGATCACCATGAAATTTATGTTTCTTCTGGAGATATTCTATGCATTTCCATGTGAGCATGTATATACACTATATACACATTAAAAAAAATATACAAATGCCAGGACACTAGACATTGTTCTTCAACTGATCTTTCCTATTTCCTGTAACAGATTATATAGTGGCCTTGTTATCTTTTTTAATGGCTGAATATTTCAGTTGTTGATATTTCACATTTTAACATATTATTTCAAACCTTCTGTTAGGACCAATAATGCTGTATATGTATCATTTTGAATAAAAGACAAGTCCATTGGTAGGGTGTTTTTAGAAGTGAAATGCAGTTTTAATTCTGATGGAGTTTTCTGTTTTATTAATGGATTTTGCCAAAGCTTTCATTTACTGAGGATGTACCAATTTAAACTCCCACCAGTAATGTACTACCTGATATTTAATGAAAGTACTCATAATAGTACCATGGAAATGTACCAAGGGCTTATCCCAGGACATCCTTACTGGTCACTGTGCTTGTTACAAAGATGAAAGTTACTCATATTTTTGGGTGTGATAAGTTTTTTTAATGGGGGACTCCCAAGTTCAAGCTAGGTCAAGGTGATCAAAAGCTAATGAAGGAAAGTGGTGGAGTACCCTACCCCTAGCAGAACGGTGGTTCTCAAACTTTAGAGTGTACATGAATGATTCTGATGCAGCAGGTCTAGGGTGGAAACTAAGCAAGCACTCAGGCGATTGTGATGTCAGCAAATGAAACAGCCAGAGATGCTGGACAATGACTGCTAGGGACTGAAGGGAGGAGAGGAAGACTGGCTGTGGCTTATTGCCTGGATGAATAGGGAGCAGGGAGGAGGTCTTCAGAAAAGTTAGTAAGTATGCAGCGACATGCCCTTCAGCTGGAGTTGCTTGTTACACAGCTGGAAATAAGCTCACAACTCCCCAAAGTCACCTGGGCTTTAAAATCATAAATCTGGAAACCATAAACTTGTAAAATGAAGATCATACCAATAACATTATTCACAGCAAACACAGCACACCGTGGGCACTGCACCGTTAGCACTTATTGCTGGTGCCTGGTGCTCTAGAAGCATCCCTGGGGTCCTTCCCTCAATACTTGTGACCGCACTGGCTGTGACTGTGTACCACACACACACTACAAGATGGAGTAGGGTCCTTCCTCCCCATCTGGATGGACTTGGGAGTTGTGACCATGTCCTGTCAATTCCTGATCCTCTCTGCCCTTGAAATGTGCTTAAGGGGGGCAATTATTTTAGTTTGGTTAGGTGGGGAGGGGGGAGAAAAAGTCAAGTTTTTAAAAAATTATTAATTATATGTAAAGGGGAAGAGAAAGTGTAGAAATGGAAAAGCTGAAGTACTAGGAGAAAATTATGGAATACAGTCAGAAGTACCCGGATATTGAAGCCCTACTTTGTCACTTAATCACTGTGTGACTTTGGGCAAGACACTTGATCTCTCTGAACTTATTTCCATGTATGCAAATAAAGGATGATGATACCGACCCCACAAGAATTCTTGTGAGAATTAAAAAAGCCTACTAAAAACACTTAGCATTGTGTCTGGTACATTCCTTCCTTCCCACATTCATGTAACAAATGTTTAGTGAGAGTCAGTCTACCATATGCCAGAGACTATAGGCAAAAGATGCTTAGCACCTCCTTCTTCTACTCCCTTAAGCCAAAACCCTTGGACTTGTGTCTGACGCCTCTTTCTCCCTCATGCCACATCTGCCCACCTCACCATCTCTACACTTCCACCCTGGTCCGACCACCATCTCTCTTATATGGTATCTGCAGCAGCCGCTTAACGGGTCTCCCTGCTTTTATCTTTAACCACCCCCACCCCTCCCCAGTATCCTCAGCATAGCAGCCAGTTGTGCTCCTTTTGCAATTCTGCTGCTGGGAATTCTGCCACAGCTCCCATCTCAGAAGAAAGAGCCTAGATCCTTCTCACTGGCTCTACAAGGCCCAAAGTGTCCTGCCTCCTCCATCTTCGCTCTCTCACCTCCTCACCCACCACTATTCTCATCCTCACCCCACTCCAGCCACCCTGGCTCACCTTTCTGCTGCTCCCTCTGCTTGAATGCTCTAATTCCAAATACACGCATGGCCAGTTCTCACCTCCTCCAAGGTGTTGCTAAGTCTCTTCTCAGTAAGGCCATCCTGACCACCCTACTGTAACTTGATATGAGTCCCCACTCCATTTCCTGATCCCCTATACTCTGCTCAACACAGTACTTCTTCGAAGGCACATAATTTATTCATTATGCTGTTTACTGTCTGTCTCTCCCTACAGGAAACTTCAGTTTGTTCACTGATGCACACACTAAGCTTCTAGGATTGTGCCTGCAACACAGTAGGTGCTTGCTCAGTAAATTTCCTGGAATGTAACAAAGTGACATTTTGATCCTCTCTCTGATTGCCTTGAGTACACTGTCACTGCCCCTTCTCCCCAGGTCTCCCCATGGATCTCTGTGAAGGTGGTTCCTTCAGCAGAGTTTACAAAATCAGTGATGATTTTCAAGAATGTGCAAGCTCTTAAAGTGTTTTTTTAGCCACTTACTGCAGTCAATGTGCTTTAGCTGAATTTTTTAAACTCCCAGATCTGAATTGAGCATGGAGGGCTGGCAGGACTATGCGAAGAGCTCCTGGGTAGCAGCTAAATTCTGCTGCAGTGGGGCCCTTGCTGGACACGCTCCACACATGTCCCAAGGGACCTGCTGCTCCCATGCGGCTCTGAAGCGGAATACATTTTACAATCGCTTCCAAATGCATAGTGTATTTTCACAGGAGCCCCTTTTACAATGTTATTTATCATTAGGGCTCAACACTCGAGCAGAAAAGAACGGAGATGATGAGCTCTCTGTGCCATGTGCTCCTTGGCACTCACTCTCATGCTCCATGATGCATTTTTGGGAACTGTCACACTAAATTACCAGCATTAACCATTTTTTTTTTCAACGTGGCTTTCCAACCCTTCTCCTTTTGTTTTAAGGAACACCAGAAACAGATCTTGTTAAACGTTTACAAAAAAATTCCTGTGGTCATAATAGAATGAATAGAATAGAAATAGTCACTGTTTTTCTTAATTCCTAGATGCACTTTTTTTTCATATTTCAACATCTTAAATGTGAATGCATCTTAGCACTGAAAGTGTCTTACAATAAACTGGCAGCATTTTTTTTCTGTCTTAGAAGTAAATGAATTAATGATGTGTCTTACAATTGATGTCATGTTAGAGTCACTGAAATTTGGTTTATCAAATCATCTGACTTTGGAGACTAATGCTAAAGAACATGGATGACCACATCTGGTATTGAACTTACAAATGAGGTCAAGTTCCACACACCATGGAAAGCCACCCTTCAACTTCTTAGAGATAACATGCCAATCAATCTGAATTTACATTTTGATCTATTGAAATATCAAGAGAAATGCCATGGTCTACTAAACAAAAGCATGCAAAATGAGAACTTATCAACTCTATCTAGAGATTTGGGAACCCAGAGAACAAGCCAATTAACCCCAATTTCCTCTCTGTAAAACAGATAATGAGGGTTTGAAATTTAAAATTGCTAACTCTTCAGTGATACAAGATGCAGTGAGGCATGTGGAAAGGCACAGGATCAGAGTGAGGAGACCCACAGTCAGCCCTCCGACCCAGCCGGTGGCCTTACATCTGACAGCACCTGGTCCTTGATGTTGCTGCTTCATGTGTAAAGCAGGGGCTATGATGAGATGACTGCCAGGTCCCCTTCCAGCTCACAGCTCACATAGACTCCTGGCTTGTGTTGCTGCTGATGTGTTTTGTTCTTTGTTCCACAAACAGGAAAGAACTGTAGCTCCCTCAACAGAGAAGAGGAAACTATGAACGACTCAGGGGCCATGAGCCCAATCCTCTGGCTGCCTTCTCTTGTTCAACTCTGCTTCTGAAAGCAGTAGCAGAAAGAGAACTGGGGCTGGCTCTACTGGCATTTTATTAAAAAAAAAAAGATTTTATTTATTTATTTTTAGAGAGAGTGGAAGGAAAGGAGAAAGAGAGGGAGGGAAACATCAATGTGTGGTCGCCCCCTATGGGGGGACCTGGCCTGCAACCCAGGCATATGCCCTGACTGGGAATTGAACCAGCAACCATTTGGTTCGCAGGCCAGCCAGCACTCAATCCACTGAGCCACACCAGCCGGGCTATAATGGCACTTTAAAATAAAGCAAGATGAAACACACGGATTTAGAAAACAGAAGATTTAACAGCCTTATTCCTCATTTTAAATACCTATGATGTGCCAGGAAGGGCACACCCCAAAACCAGCCATACACAGTCCCTGCACTAAAGGAACTCACCAAGCTGAATGAAGCATCTGGGTCAAGGTCAAAACAGTTCACATACGCATATGGACCAGTAAGGAGCATAACTTAATGAACACTTGGTGGTACATAAATATCTTCTCTGTGTTTAATGAGGTAACCAGCAAAACTACCTTCCTTGGACAAGGTGAAATGGAGGGATAAAATGATTTGTCTTAAGATATACCAATCTAGAATTCTAATCTAGCAAGTGCTGGAATATTTTGGAACTTTACTAGAATACAATTCTGGGGGTTTTTTAAATTAATTTTATAGCTTACATGGAACAAATGGGATTCATTCTCCTGCACTCCCCATTAGGACTTAAATTCATCCTTACCTTGCAGTATCCTAAGCTAGAAACCTCACTGATCTTTTTCACTCCCTCCTTCCAGTCCCATGCCATGTTCCAAGTAATCTACTCAGCCACTAAGAGCCATCAGTTCTGCCCAAGCAATGTCTCCCAAATCTGGCTCTTCCTCCATGTCTCTAGTTTCTGCCCTCTTTCTCTCACCATTCCAACACTGCAGGAGCCTACTAGCTAGTCTCCAACTCCAAATGTCACAAGAGTTAACTTTCTAAAAGCCCTATCTGCTCTATTTCATTCACTCTTTCTTGCTTAAAAAAACATCTGTTGGGCCCTGGCTGGTGTAGCTCAGTGGATTGAGCATGGGCCTGTGAACCAAAGGGTTGCCAGTTCAATTCCCAGTCAGGGCACATGCCTAGGTTGCAGGCCAGGTCCCCATAGGGGGCGCATGAGAGGCAACCACCCACTGATGTTTCTCTCTCTTTCTCCTTCCCTTCCCTTCCCTTTGAAAATAAATAAATAAAACCTTAAAAAAATAAACCACCTGTTGACTCCCTACCACTGTTTAGGAATAAGGTCCAACCTCCATGGTGTAGCACAGAAAACCTTTCAAAATATGGCTTCAACCTACCTGACCACCTCACATCTGACCATGCCTCATGCCTCCTATGCTCACTGCCCAGGCCCAAGCTGCTCTTCCATGCCTTGGCTGGTGCTGCTCCTTCTGTCAAGAATGCCATTCTTCTCTTGCCAATTTGTCAAACTCTGATTTGATTCCGTTAGTCCCAGCTCAACAGACTTTGTCAGCAAAGCCCCCACTCTCTTTTTGCAACCCCTCCTTGACCTCCAGAGAATCTCTAGAACTTTTATTCAGAATTCTATGGTATCTCTTACTGTGTGGTACATATTAGGCACTCAAATGTTTGCTGATGAAGTGAAAATAATTATGTAAAGATAATGTTAATCTGTGCCAAAAGAATACTCATTTCTGGAAACGATTTGTCTTATAAGTCCGAAACATAACTGGCAATGTGACTCTTAAAATGAGCGACTCTTCCTCCCTGGCATCTTTTTTTGTTTTGTTTACTCACACAGAGGATATGATCATTGTTTCCTTTTACCTCTTCTGGCAGCACCTCATGTTCTTTTGCTTGAAGATATATCTCTTGAAATTTTTCCTTTAGAAATTCCACTTCTATTTCATTTACTTGGCTCTCACTCAGGTAAATGCCTGTTTCATATTCACCCCCATCTCGATGATCTTCCTCAGGGATGTGAACAGCCCAGTCAGATGTCAAGAGCTGTTGGATTATCGAACAAATATATGAACTGATTGAATGGAAAAGATACTCTACTGTATTACTCAAAGAACTTATAATTAAATATCACTGACTGGATCCATTTTAAAAACATCCTGTGACCACAGAACAGCCTTTCAGACCAGCACAATTCTAGATATCAGAGTAACATGTATTTCCCTATTTACGTGCTAAAGTTTCAATTAAACCTAATAAACCTCAAATTCTCAATGTGTGGCTGTGGTTTCTTTTTCCCTTAGTTCTTTATGTCAGAACTGTTCAGTCTAATTTTTACCTGTTCTATTGTGGAGTAGACCTCCACAATCTCTGGTATATTCTGAAATTCCTCCAGAAAATTTTGGATCTTCATCTGGAAATCTCGAAGCCATGCAGAAGATACCTTCATCTCTGAAGAGTGCATGATTTCATTACGACACTTAATTACCTGGAGAGAGACGAAGAAAAATAAAAGGCTTCAAAGTCAAACAGTGGGGTAAACTAAGATTTTGTAGTTCCAAAGAAAAGTTGCAGAAAGGTTTTTTGTTAGTTACAAAAATGTTCAACCCCCTGCCACTTGAATAATAAACATATCAGGGTAAGAAATAAAAGCAAACTTACAACTATCCTTAGCTCTTGAAATCTTGTGACTGGCTGCATATCTCTTACAATGATCCATATCTCTTAACTGAAAACAACCTGCCAAGAGCAAGAGTATTGGCTACCAGCTCCGCATAAACCCAAAGACTGAAGCAGACAATGCAAAAATTCTTTAACTATCGTTGGAGCCCCAGAAAGCTGGGCCAAGGGAGTTTCTTACCGCAGAAACCATGATGCAAAGAAGACCAACTTTTGCCTGTATTTTGAGACAGACAGTGCTGTCTAATCATATATTAAATTCATGTAAAGTCTTCCACATCTTTGTTAAGAGATATTGTAGAGGTCACCTCTGTACTGTGGTAGTTTTGTCTCTGCAATATCACAGAGGATTCTTAGTCCTTTCAGCCACTGGCAACCTAACAAAATATACATGCGTTTTCTCTACATTTTACACATAATCCATCCAAATACCTTCTCTTCAAAGACCCTCAGAGTAATAAATGTGCCAGAGCTGTTCTCTGGTGAAACAGAGAAAGTCTAAATCTCCAGAGGAAATCTGCCATAGCAACTTATTCTGACCTTGTTTATTCACTAGTGTTTCTATTTTCTCCAGTTTATGTAACTTTTATGTTTGGGCTCAAATACTGGCATACAATGAACAGAATGATGCATTGCTGTGTGTGTGTGTGTGTGTGTGTGTGTGTGTGTGTGTTTAACACTGAAACTAACTGCTTCTGTTTATGGCAAAACAGAGAAGAGAAATTTGAGGTTCATCTAGTTTGGCAGTGAAAAGCATTAATGACAGGTTGTCAGAAAGCGTTAATTAGGGAGAACTGAAGGGCTAACTATATTCGCACTGGGGTTCTTAGACATCACAGAAGGTACATGGGATGTGAGCCCCACTAGCCTGCTAAGGGATGCCAACTTTGAAGCAAAGTCTAAGTTTCTTTGCACATCACTGTTTTGGGGACAGACCGTGTGCTACATCTACACGTTGTTTTAGCATCACAAGGTGTGTTCTTTGGCTGGTCTTCACAGTACCTACAGGACAGACTCCCATTGTGCAGTTTGAGATCTGACAGCTCTTACCTCTGTGACTTTCTTTCGATCAACCATGAAGTGATCGCAGGAGTTGATCAGGCTTAAAAGAGCAGCTGCATCACATTCCTTGGGTCCTGTTTTGTCTGCCAGTCCTCGGGGCATGAAGGCCTGTAGGAGAGGGTCAGAAGGAGTGGTGACACAGAGATGGAGCTCAGAAGAGAAAGCAGGGCTAAGGGTACACATCTGGGAGCCATCGGCATAAAGGAAGTATTTAATATTTAACTCTATGGACCTGGGCAGTATCACCAGAGCAGAAGAGCGGGACAGAATGGGCCTGAGAAAAGCCAACACTCAGAAAGAGGCCAAGGAGTAACCAGGAAAGTAGGAGGAAACCCAGAGGATAATGATGTCATACAGCCAGTAGTGATAAGAGACACTCTTCTTCCTTTGTAGCAGAAAGATGATGGTGGACATGGAGGTAGGTTGGTAGGTCTTGTAAAAATGAAGAACCATGTATCTGGGGGGTCTTCAACTCCAAGAAGGGTGAGCAAGGTTAGCAGCTGGGATTGAGGGTGGAGGAACACAAGTGGGAGCTTGGCAAGGGAAAGGCAGCAACAGTCATCTCCAGGAACAGAAGTCTATAGAGAGACGTGGTCGGATGGCTTGGGCTCGTGAGCGAGAACTGAAAGTGACAAGATTTCATTTTTTATTGTTGAATAATATTCCATTATGTCTGTGTATACACATATACATATACACACATTCGTATATATTCTTTATCGATGCATCTATTTATGGATACCTGGGCTGATTCTATATCTTAGCTATTACTAGTAGTAATAATAGAATGAACATAGGAGGGCATGTATCTCTTTGAATTAGTGTTTCTGTTTTCTTCTTGTCATTTGTGACAACATGGATGGATATAGAGTATTATGCTAAGTGAAATAAGTCAGATAGAGGGAGACAAATACCATACACTTTTGTTTATATGTGGCATCTAGGAAAATGAATAAACAAAACAAAATAGAAACATCCTCACACAAATCGATAACAAGCTGATGGTTGCTAAAGGGGAGGAGGTGGGGGAATGGGCTAAAAAAATAAATTGCTCATTAAAAGAAAAAAAAGAAGAAAAACCAACAGTAAAACCAGCCAGCTCCCTTGTGAGCTTCTTTCCCTGAGTAGAAGCAGGTGATGTCATCAGGGCTGGAGCTGGTCCAGGCAAGTTCAGAGAAAGGAGAAAAAAGGAGAACAGGGACAGAAAAGAATATTCACACAGGGGTGGAGTAGAAGGTCTGTAGGTGACAGCAACAAAACTGATGGCCTGTGCTTCAAGAGGATTCTGAGAGTGAGAAAGCAGCAACAGAGACCAAACTGGTGAGAGACAATCACAGTAAAAGGTAGAGGTTTAAGTTTTATTGTTTTCTAGGTAAAAGAAGTTGGTAATTCTATAGCAGCTTTAAAAAATGGAGAAGAGAGTACAGGTGTGGTGGGTTTACTGGTCCACGAGCACCAAGTCTAGGGCCCCCTGACACAGTCCAATTTCATTTTTGAGGTTAGGGAACACAGGCTGGCCCAATGTCACACCACAGCAGCTGGGCTGAGACTCTGACTTCTGCTTCCCAGGCACCAAGCCTGTGCCTGCTGCTAACTGGCACGAAGGCTGATTCCAAAAGCTATTTTATGTTAGGAGGTCACTTTGACTGCCCCTCCACACCCCCCAGCTGGTTTCTGACAAACATAAAAAAGACAAAAAAATTTTTCCCTCCAATTGGCCCAACTAGCCATGTTGTCAAAATCTAAAACCAGGCATTATGGTATCCTTGTATCTGGCTGCCTACCCCATCTCCGAAGTTTTATTCCTTACATGGGTACTTAAAGTCCTTAACAGTTTAGCCTTTTCTTTCCTAACCTCATTTTGCCATCCTCATCATATCCTAGAACCAAACATAGCCACTAAGGGAGCTTATCCTCAAAAACGCATTTCATATTTCACCCTCTGTGCCTATGCTCATGATGCTCACTCTACATCTTGCGCTAGCATCTCTTGTTGATATCCTTCCTATAGCTTTGCAAGCAGGGGTAGCAAAACTCAAAATGCCTTCAGGAAGCAGACAGAAGCCAGCTTCTACTTCACTAAGGTGGGTTGGGTCCAATAGAATAGCCTAGACACCAGACCTTAAACACCCAATTTCTCTGAATCTGTTTATGAGGTCCCAGGCTCCAGATAACTCCTACCTGGTGCCACCACCCTCCAACCCTACAGACTGAGGTGCTTACCTTGGCCACCTCCCAAGCGTCCACAGGCCAGCGGCCCGGCCGGCAGTTTCCCCAGTGGACGTCTCCATTTCTGTTGGTGTGATGTTTCAAAATTTCCCGTTTCCACTCTGCGCATACCTGACACTGAGGATGAAACTATAGAGGGTGGAGTTGAGGAGGGGCCAGGTAGTGAAGGGCATTTGGGCATCTGAGCCCCGCGCCTTACGGTCAGCCCCCCACCAGGGAGGGCACGGGACGTTATGCTCAGGACCCGACTGGGACTGGGACTGGGACGGGGTCAGGAAGTGGTGATCAAGGCTTCGGGCCAGGCGCTCACCTGGCGGGCGCGCGGGCTGCACCGAGAGCCGCTGCGGCAGGCGGCTCTGGGGCCCAGGCCGGGGTCGGAGGCAAGCAGGCCGCGGTGAAAGGCTAGCATCTCCCGGCTGATGAAGCCCTGCAGGCAGCCACGTAGCAGCAGCAGGCAGTGGCCCGCCTTTACCCAGTTCTTGTACTCCGCGCAGTTGAGGCGAGCTGCCAGCTCAGACAGTACCATGTTTCCGTTCTTGCCCTGGAAGCCCTGTGGCGAGGGGCGGGGGGCAGGCAGCAGTGCGCAAGCGCAGAATCCTGGACGGTGCCAGATTGGGCAAGGCGCCGTGGGCGTGGCCCCATGTACTCCACCCCCAAATGCAGAACTTCCCTAGGTGGAACGTTCTGGCTCTTGTGGCACGTCAGCTCCACCCTAATCATACGTGCCCCAGACATAAAAAATACTTTGTCTGGTGCTTGCCCAGAATGCCTCTGCCTGAAACTCTTAATCCCTTTTCTGTTCCAAAATGAGACCACCCCCGCCCCAGGCGCAGAATATCCTCTTGCGTGAGGTCCGCGGTCCTGTTTTTTATAGGGATGTTAGCACTCAAAGCACACTTCCTGAATTACATTCTTCTTGCATTATTCGATTCTAGGAAGTTTACTGGTTCCTAAACCCACAGATTGGCTGCAGCGAATCAGGGCATTAATGATAAGTGACCATGGTATCCTGTTGTTTGCAGTGTGCCAAGGTGACACAAAGCTCTAAAGCATCTGCCATTGGGCCACCTGGGAAAGGCAAAGTGGACATCACCTGGATTCTGGAAGGCAGCACTACCCAGATAAGGACTACTTTGGACTCCTGATTGTATGATAATTAGTGCTCCTCCCATAAGGGAGTGTTGAGTTAGGTTACAAATAATTGTGTCACGACGGTCAGAATGCAATAAATCAACTTCAAATAACAAGAGGTCACCTCAGTTTTAGTTACGTTTAGTCATCTTACTGAGTTTTGAAAACATGTTAAAATTGTGTGTAGTCAAAAGGTCCTGAGGTTAAGAGTCTAAATGCTGAAGCCTGCCCCCGACTTCCTATTTCACATCAAAGTGGCAGTGTTCAGAACTAGACCAGGACTCAAATGGCCTCTTCTTAGCTATTTGATCTTAAGCAGTCTTAAATTTGATCTCAGCAAGTTATTTCATTTTCCTGGGCCTCAGTTTACTCATCTGTAAAAGGAAGCTATTAATACCTACCATTTGGGTTGTTGTGAGGATTAAATATACACTGAAATACTTAGAACAGTGCCTGGCAACTGTAAATATTAGCTCTCAGTAAATATTAGCTGTTACTTTATATTAACCTAAATGTGCCCTTTCATCAGATTTCTGGGCAAGGTATTTTAACAAGTCACAGCCACTTGGAAGCAGAGGCAATTTATAGAAAATTGTGAGATCATGGTCTACAGGAGTTGTGTAGTAAAATGCTGGTTGGCCTCTGCTAATTTTTTCTTAACAACCTCAAAACTAAATCTATACTAAATAAATTTCAAATCATTCCCTTAAGACATACTGTCCATTCCCATCAAACCAAATGAAACAAAATTCCACAAGAAACAATAAAATACACATTAACATTTGCCCTTTCTATCCCTTAAGTCCCCTAACTATAAGTTCTCTTAAAACTTTCAGAATATTGATTTTATATCAAGAACACTTGGGTAAAAAATAAATATTAAAGCAAAATGCAGTAGGTATTTCTTTGGGGGGAGGGAGGAAATCATGAAACTTTTTATGTTGAAATTGGATCTGAATTTAGAGTAGTAAAATTGTGCTTCTTAAAGTTACCAAATTAACCAGTTCAAAGAATGACTAACAATTAGTATCCTGTGGCTGAGCAGGTTACTGCACTAATTTTTAATGGTATTCAAATTCAAAATCATAGCCCTGGCTGGTGTAGCTCAGTGGCTTGGGCGTGGGCTGCAAAACAAATGGTCACCAATTCGATTCCCAGTCAGAGCACATGTCTGGGTTGCAGGCCGTGTCCCCAGTGGGGGCCAAGTGAGAGGCAACCACACATTGATGTTTCTCTTCCTCTCTTTCTCATTCCCTTCCCCTCTCTCTAAAAATAAAATAAATTAAAAAAAATATTTTAAAAATTTCAAAATCATGTATATTTTAGTTTATATCTGCACTCAGCACACCCAGAGTTAATTTTCAAATATAAGGTTCAGCTTATAATTAATAACTTGACATGTTTTGTTGAAGTTTTCATTTTTTCCCTAATTCTGAAAGTACTTTTATACATTCTGAAACAGCATTTCAACAGATAGAAAAAAGGTGGCAAATCAGGTCCAATTTCTTCTTTCAAGGTTAAATTAATACTAAACCATACTACTACTCAAACATCTTCATGAAAATTAACTAGAGAGTTGGTAGTTCTCTGAAACTTGTATAAATTTTATTTATTACTAAAATCACACTGAAAACATCTTAAAGTTAAGACCCAAACCCCCTATAAGAAAAATCTCTATGGGCATCCAGTCCCTTTGACCGAAACTGGGTAACAAAAGAGGCAAAAGACATGGTTTGTGATGAAGCCTAAAATTCGAATGCTAGAGTGTTCAAGCTTTAATAAAGTATATACCAATTCCAAGTACCAAGCATAATTATCAAAATTCAAAGTTGTACTCTTAAATAAGCATCAAAAGCAATTTTGTTCACTGAATCCTATCTTACTTTTGATTTGTACAATGCATTCAGAAATGAGTTACAATTAGGAAAAGTGTCCACTGAATGCATCATGCTTAAAAATGCAATTAACATTCCAAAACCAACCATACTTAAAAGGGAAAATACCTGAAAAGTTAACTGTTTTAATAAAATTATTTGAGGCAATATTATCCTGTGGATAAAAATACATTTGTTGTATTTTTACATGTAGATTTCTACATGAAAGACAGGATTCAGCTCTAAATAGAATAGGACTGACCCTTGATAAAGACATCTTAGATGGACAAACCGATGTGATTACCACTGTAAGGAGAACTAGAAACAGAAGGATAAAAGGTAAGTTAAAGGAAAGATAGATGTTTAGTCACTTGCTCCTGAATAGTGGCAGAGTTGGGCGAGAATCAGGAGATGAAGGCAGAAATAAGACATAGAAGAAAGTCAAAGAAGGCCTCAACTCTGACCAGAAATGAACAGAGAATCAAGCAAAGTTGAGAACAGATATGATATAGTTGCAGTGAGATGCTGGAAACTAGAATTTTAGTAGTTACAGAAGCTCAATTAAATCATCTAAAAGGGAATTAGACAAAACATCTGAAATTTAATGGAGAACTAATATTGTATTGACCAGATAACTTGGCATGGTAGTTGTCATTTAAAAAACCTTCCCAAATAACATCAAGTCACCAGAAGACCTTTGCTTCCAGTCATATTCTTTCAAGCTTATCAAAGTCCCTGACTGATTGGGAGAGATAGCACAGTACTCCAAAAGGAAACTATGCTGAGATGTTTCGGTATCAGAAACTCCATTCGACTCTGGACAGACCTTGGATGTTAGATTCTTCAAAGTGAGGGGACTGGACCAGGTTTCTTCCAAGCAAAAACATTTTATCGTTTTATTGATAATGAATTAAATTGGGATTGTTCAGACCAACCCCAAATTTGATGGGGAAGTTAAGCAAGATAAGGAAACATCACAGAAATTTCATGTAGGGACAGAGCACTCAAATCCATTTCCTAACTAATGCTGCATGCAGAAGTATCCTGTAAACTAAATTTGCCTAACAGAAAAGTTACCATATCCTCAACAGACCAGAATGTTGAAGTATTTGGGATCCTTGACTAATAGGAAGTACTGTCTCTTTTCCAAGACTGGGTTCTTTCTCTTTTACCAAAATCCTAAACTGAAAGATAACCAAGGTGCTAAATGTTCACCACCAGTTGATTTAGGAATGTTTGAAGAAAATAAACTTGAAACAAAGAAGCAGATGTTTTTGGTCAAATTCCAGACATATGTTATTAGAAATTAATTACTGGCCCCACCAGGGTAAAGAAGAAGGGAGGCCCTGAGAATCTATAGAGCTGATATACACACAAGTGAGTGTCACTGTTTTTTTTAAACCTAGTTTATTAAATATTGCTTCTTTGGGACGTTTTTATAACAACTCCCAGAACATTTTCATGTGAGGATTCAAAGCGGTCATAGTAAAATACAGCTTCAATATAAAGTTTATCACAGTTTTACAGTATTCAAAATGACAGACCTGCCTTAAAAAAACAAAACAGAAACCAAAAAGGACTATTACACCCAAAACATAAGAAAACAATTAAATAAACAAGTTTGGCATTTCCGTAACTTTATAGTATAAAACAGAATATTGACTCTATGATTGGCAAGCGGACACTGATGTAATAATTACCTAGTTTGAAACGTGTCCCATTTAAACACACTATACAAGTTCACTATACAAAAGACTGATGGTCTGTTTGATGAAAGAAATGCACCCTGAAAATTTTTGCGAATTTAGAATATTTAGCTCTTTAAGTCAAAAAGTCCTTTTCCTTTTTAAAACTGAAGGCTGAATTCAGACTTTCATTTGTCAGCCTTCCTGGTTTAAAAACAATAGTGTCTATGGACGCCCACCAGGGGGCAGTGTAAGATTAGCCATTAAATCACGAACAGCTGCAAATATTGTGCATTCACCTGCAACAGAGAAAAATGGTCATTAGCTATTCGCAATACAGGAAAGATGATGTCAACACACCGGTGGGGTAAGGGTAATTAAATCTAAAATTAGCAAGAACTGTAAAGATCAAAATAAAAGAATTAAATTTTAACTGCACAGGTTACAGGGGATTAAGCTTTGGTGTTAAGTATCAGACAATTTGGTTTGGGTTTTGTTTTTTCCTCATGAGGAAATTTGGGGCAAGCCTCAGTTAAATTTGAATTTAAGAAGATATGCCTAGAATTTCTCTATAGAAACAATGGATTAGGAGAATTGGATAAACCTTTCAGCTGGGCTTCAAGGGTACTTACTGACAACTGGCTTACAAATTTTGAATCTAATGAAAAGATCTACATAGTTTGTATTTATACATTAGGTACACCAATGGTGTCCTTCTAATGTTGCATTAAAGGTCAGATAAAATCTCTATGACAGCACTGTCCAACAGAACTTTCTGTGATGATGGAAATATTCTATATGTGCATGTGGCTACCAAGCACTTGTAATGTAGCTAGGGTGACTGAAGAACTGAATT